TTATTTTCTCTAGCACATTCAATTTGTTTGGCATGTCTACACACATTTCTACACACTGTAATAAAAACTTAAGTTCTCAAACTGTAACATTACAGGAACATCTGGGAGAATATCTTGTGCCATGTTATTGTATTATAACCAATAAAAAAATCTTTAAATAGGAGACTGTATGAGCCGAGTGAATTTTCCTTTTGGTCTTCCTAAATCCCACATCATTCATTGACTGGTGCATTCTAGTCCCAGCCTGGAACCTTATTTCTTAAAAGCGACACAACACTTTGCAGCAGATAGATAAATAATTGTTCTCGTTGCTCGAGTCACAGAAGTAATGTGTTGCACTGAGTGTTACAAATTCATTATGTTATTGTTACCAGCATATAAAAAAATGTAAAGGGTGACATATCATCAGAAAATGTCCCTAAAAAGGCGGCAAAATGTCCTTAAAGCCCAATTTTTGAAAGTAACTAGAAAACATTGCAAGTAACATTTTAAAGTAATGTGGAAGCAATTTAATTACTTCTGAAATGCAAAGAAGACCCCTCCTGATGCAATGGGTTCATTTGTCGTACTGCTCTAACAGTTAAGAAGTTTGTCCCAATATTCAGCCTAAATCTGGCTTCCTTGTAGCTTGAGCCTATTATTATGTGTCCTGCACTCTGGGATGATCGAGAATTTTATTTCATTTCATCTTATTCTCTGCAACCTTTTACCCAGTCTTGCTACTCAGTCCGATACAGCAGCAGCCCCCAACCTGTTTAGCCTGGTTGGGGAATGCAGGGCACGCCCCCTGTGCATGCGCGAAGGGCGCGCAGCATTTGTGCGGTCGCACAGGCACTCGTGCGCATGCGCAAAGGGCAGCACAGCACTTGTGCGGGCGTGCATGCGCTCACAGGTGCAAACGAGCTGTGTGGAGGGGTGTGGAGGAGAGGTCTCTCTCTTTGTGGCCCAGTCCAGCTCAGACCACAGACCAGCACCAGGCCGTGGACCAGGGGTTGGGTACCTCTGCATATAGGAAAGGAAAACATCTTCCCCTAACCATACACCTTTGCCCACTTTTTCTCCTCTCTTGGAGGTACATAAACGTCCCCATTTCGCTAACTGACTGTCAGAATAACCAAGGCGGTGGGCAGAAACTAGAACTGGGGAACAATCCAAAAGACTTATTTCCCCCCCCCCTACCTGTTGTTCTTTCCTCTGAGCCTCTCGCCGCCTCATCAAGAAATCTTCCGAGAGGGTGACGGCTTGGGCGCAGGTCTCCGGCCTGTGCTCCCGGACCCAGTTCTGGATTTCCTGAGGCAGGATGCTGACAAATTGCTCCAGGATCAAGACCTCCAGGATCTGCTCCTTGGTGTGCCTCTCCGGCCTCAGCCACTGGTGGCAGAGCTCCCTCAGCTGCCGGCACACTTCCCGCGGCCCCTCGGCCTCCTGGTAGCGGTGGTGCCTGAAGCGCTGGCGCTGGATCTCCGCCGCCACCATGTCTTCAAGGGGGATCTCGTCCTTCATGCCCCCGTAATCCTGCCGCTCCCGGTGATCCCGGCCGCTGTAGACCGGCTGAGCCTCTCGGCTGAGGCCTGACAGGGTCGGTGGCACCCAGGTTCCTCCTGAGGGCCACTGGCTAGCATTAGCCAGGGGCTCGAAGGAGGGGCAGAAAGAATTTGTGTCCCAATGGAGGGGCTTGGGCAATGGGGCATTTCTCCATCCTGACTGGGGATACTGGGTTTTTGGAAACGCCTGTCTGGGAGGGTCCCAGTCCTGTGCCGGTGGGGGCTGTGGCTGAGACCCCTCGTCGGGTTCCTGTTTAACCTGTTGGGGGCCTTCCCCAGCTAAGAATTCCCGCATGGACCCCACCGGCAGGAAATGTGGGCCCCTTCCTCCCCCCAGTTCACGGCCAGCTGACTCTTGCTCCTCCATTTTCAGGGCTGAGTGCATGCCCGGGTCTGGCACTGCCCGGAACTGGAGGTGAAGGGCGGCCGTCTCCCCTCTTCCCGCCGCCATTTTGGACCCACCAAGTGACTTTGGTCAAGGTGTGGGCGGCCCTGTGAGAGCGGGGGGCTGGCCCTCCCTAATGGGGAAAGGGACGTTCAGGATGCTTCAAGGGTTGGGGTGGGGGTGCAGCCTTGGACCACCCACCCCACCCCGTATTTCTCAAAGCTGTCAAAATAGCGACAGAGCAGAATCACCAGGTTCCTTTTCCCTTCAGCCCCCTTTACAACAGAGGGATATGGGACACCCTACGGTCAGTACAAGAAAGCCGACGGCATATTCTACTCTAAGCAAAGAGTCTCTGGATCTTTGGCAGAAGAATGGCCAGCTTGAGAAATGTTCAGGGTTCGTTCAGATCTGGAGGGTGCAAGACAAGAAAGGAGAATACACCTTTATTGCTGTTATTTTAAAATTCAAATTCATTTATTTTCACTTTTTTTCTAGCCCATTTTTCTGAGGTAAAAAGAAACAAGGTTTATGCCTTTCTCAGATAAAGATAAACCTGTATCTATACAGTAACACATACACACACACACACACAAAATGTCATAATTTTAAAAAGTAGGTGTGGGGGAGGCCTTGAAAGTGCAGCCAAACGATTCATAAACTGCAACCAAATGACTCTTTATACGTTTTGGAGATAACAGCTTCAAAATGCCAATAAAACAGCCACTAGCAATTTCACAACTGAAAAGAAAACTTAACTTTTATGTGGGAAAAGCAAGGCATCCAGAGAGTGGAGCAGGTTATACTTTATTTTAAAGGAGAATTCCTGCTCCTGAAAAAGCTGACAGGAGTGTCATTTTTTCATTTTTTATTGACTTAATTTTCTTCTCGATACAGGAGAGGGACCAGGGGCTGCCAAAAATTAAAAAAAAAGATTTGGGGGCCACATTTGGCCTGGTGGTCACAAAACTCCTACTTTCCTTCTGAAACGGTGATGCTTTCCAAAACAAAATCTCAGATATGCTCAAGTCCAGAGCAGGGACTCAAACAGAGACCAAACAGGCTGCCTCACCTGAAATCAGGTGATGCAGCAGGCAGTGATAGAGTGATTGCTGGTGTGATACAGCAGGCAGACCTTAGAACTTCAGAAGCACCCCACTGAATCACACCAAAAGACTTTTTAATCCAGCACACCCTTCTTCCCAAATACCACTTTCCCCCTGAGAAACACCTGGTGTCTCACTCAAAGGTGCCCATAGATCTCTCCTTGCAATTCTGTTTGTGAGTTACCTTGGTGTGTATGTACCTTGCTTTTCCTCCAATGAGCTCAGGACAAGAGACATGGATCTCCTCCTTCCCCCATTATCTTCCTGACAACCCTATATGGTAGATCACAGGGAGGGAGCCAGAAAAAACAGAGAATAAGTAAATGTGTGTGTAAGTGCCTATGTGGAGGTCATCCAGTAAGGAACAAAGATAGATCTAGGAACTCTGCTGATACCAGTCTGCAAATGAATGTAAGCATGCCTCTCAAATATTATTTAAAAATAGCTCGCTGGATAGCTCAGTGCTTTAGGTATCTGGATGCGGAGCCAGAGACTGGGCGTTTGATTCCTCAGTGGGCTTCCTGCCAGTGTAGAGCCAGCCTGTGTGGCCTGGGGTCAGCTACGCAGTCCCAGGGCACCTGCAGAAGAAAGGGATGGTAAACCACTTCTAAGAATTCTCTACCTAGAAAATCCAGGAAAGGGTCACCATAAGTCAGAATCAGCTTGAGAGCACATGATTGTTAAGCTGGCTGGATAGCTCAGTGGTTTAGGTATCTGGCTGTGGAGCTGGAGGTTGAGCGTTCAATTCCCCAGGGTGCTCTGGTGCTCTGTGAGAAGAGCCAGCCTGCGTAGCCTTGGGCAAGCTGCACAATTCTAGGATGTCCTCCGGAAGAAGGGAAGAGTCAACCACTTCCCTATATAGAAAACCCTGGAAAGGGCAACCCTAAGTCGGAAGTGACCTGACAACAGACTACTACTATTATGATGATGATGATGATGATGATGATGATGATTATGATCATCATCATCATCATCATTATCATCATCATCATCATCATCATCACCACCACCACCATCATCATCATCAATCTTTCTCCTTAAGAAGGACCCAAGGTGGTTTATGTCATTAAAAGCCACCCAGAGACCTTTGGGTAATGTGGACAGTATATAAATAAATAAATAAATAAATAAGAAGCGATAACAGTAAATATACAATCACAGAAGGATCAAACAAATACCACACATAAAAAATGGTACACATAAGCAACACCAAGACGCCTTCAAAGCAGTAAGGCACATTTTAAAACTCCACTCGGAAACTCAGGGGTAGCTTCCCTGAAGTGAATGGTCTTTGCTTGCTTGTGGAAGGACAGCAAAGAGGGGGCCAGGCTGGCCCCCAGTGGGAAGGAGTTCCAGAGTCTGGGAGCAGCCACAGAGCAGGCCCTGTCCTATGTCCCCATCAGATGCACCGGTGAAGGTGGTGGGACTGAGAGAAAGGCCTCTCACGGTGATCTTAAAGCCCGGGCAGGCTCATTATGGGAGACACAGTCCTTGAGATAGCTTGGGCCCAAGCCGTTCAGGGCTTTATAGGTTCAGACTAGAACTCTGAGTTGTATCAGAAATAAAATGGCAGCCAATGGAGGTGGTGATGTGATGTGATCCCTGTGACCAGCTCCAGTTAGCAATCTGGCAGACACATTGATTATTGTTTTCTCAAACTGAATCCCTGCTTCTCTAAAAATAACCAGTGTGTATGAAATACCACACTGGGGCCAAACACATTCATTCATGTCACACAGCCACTGGCAGCCAGATCCATCAACCGCCTCCATCCGTGACAATGTGACAGCAGAGCTTTTATTCTGTGACCAGCTCCAGTTAGCAATCTGGCAGACACATTGATTATTGTTTTCTCAAACTGAATCCCTGCTTCTCTAAAAATAACCAGTGTGTATGAAATACCACACTGGGGCCAAACACATTCATTCATGTCACACAGCCACTGGCAGCCAGATCCATCAACCGCCTCCATCCGTGACAATGTGACAGCAGAGCTTTTATTCTTATTTATTCTTTCTTTAATTTTTAGGATGGCCATAACCGGAGTTTGGCAGTCCACCCTGTAGGCAGCTAAGGATTCTGGACACCATCACCCACAATAGGCAGTTTCCCCCCAAGCTCTGTGCAGTGAGGGGAGAGATGAACGCCTGCAGCTTCTGGTCTGCAACCCCTGAATCATAAACACACACACACACACACACACACACACACACATATCATGTTTTCCTAAAAATAAGATAGGGTCTTCTATTAATTTTTGCTCCAAAAAATGCATTATTTTCAGAGGATGTTTTTCCCCCCATGTACAACCATCGACATTTATTCAAATACAATCCTATCATCTTCTTCTGGTTGCTGCACAAGGGTGGAGGGTGGGGTTTCACTGAACTGGGGCTTATTTTTGGGGGTATGGCTTATATTACGAGCATCCTGAAAAATCATACTAGGGCTTATTTTCAGGTTATTTTCAGGGGAAACAGGGTATATATAAACACACAAATGTTCTTCACTTGTAACTTCCGGGAATCTCTGAGGGATGATCATGCAGGGATGAGATCACCCATCTTGCCCGCAAAACAAGCTTTTCCTGAGGAAAAGGCACAAGCATTTAATACAAAGAGATTATCTCAGCCATATGCATTAAAACGCACCCCCTGAGGGTGGGGGAAAGCTAGCCAGGGAAAAGGTGTTCTCAGCGACTGTGCAGAATCACAACAGGGAGTTGTGACAGGAATCAGATGGGATCAGAAGGCAGTCGGGAGATGCCCAGGAATGGTTAATATTGACTACTGGAATTACCTTTATACTAGCCCAAGCTCCAGTGTGTTATTCCTGTACAGTGGTGCCTCGCATGACGACGTTAATTCGTTCCGCAAAAATCGCTGTAGAATGAAAACGTCGTCATGCGATTTTAAAAAGCCCATAGAAACGCATTAAAACCCAATTAATGCGTTCCTATGGGCTTAAAACTCACCGTCCAGTGAAGATTCTCCATAGAGTGGCCATTTTCGCTGCCCGTGCAGCGGGGAATCCGTGCCAGAAAACAGCGGGCGGCCATGTTTTTCACCCGGCAGCCATTTTGAAACCGCCAATCAGCTGGCCGAAAATCATCACTTTGCGATGATCAGTTCCCGAAGCAGGGAACCGATCATCGCAAATCAAAATTCCCCCATAGGGAACATCATTTTGCGATCGCTTTTGCCATCGCAAAATCTTCAACGTAATGCGATTTCGTTGTCAAACGGAGCGCTCGTAAAGCAAGGCACCACTGTATATCAAAGAGGCTACCACCTTGCTGTTAAATATCCACTGACTTTCTTACCAAGCAGCCACGATCTCTGTATCTTGATGCCACGTTTAAAATATTTGCCATGTTATCTTTCTCTCTTAACTATGTCTGGGGAAAGTGGATTTGCCCACGAAAACTCCCATTAAAATATAACCCTTGGTCTTTAAGGTGCCATTTTGTTTTTGTTTCTTTTTTAATTTGTTCTTTTAATTTTTATTTATTTTCTTTTTACCCATCAGGCTACACAGACTAACAAGGTTACCCAACAGAATGCCACCTACCAAAAGGACTGCCTCGTCCACCCAACCCGTGTTTCTCAGGATGGGGATGCTAACCCTGAGAGAGGCCCAGAAAGAGAAAAAGAGAAAGCCGGGGGGGGGGGGAAATTCTCGGTGGTTGCTCCCCTGCCTTGGCATGAATTCCCACACAAAATTTGTGTGGACCTTTCTCTGGAGATTTTTTAAAACTCTTAAAAAACTTGTTCTATTTCAGCAGGCTTTCCAAACCGCACCAAGTTAAAAGCCTCCCCTAAGATTCTCTGTTTGTCGTCTATTTAAAAATCACTGTCTGATTTAAAGTTAATTCCAATTGTTGTTTGCTGAATTATGGTTTGTACTGTTTACACTGCTTCAGTGTGCACACCGCCCAGAATGACCATCAGTCAGATGGGTGGTTTAGAAGTTCAATCAATCAATCAATCAATCAATCAATCAATCAATCAATCAATCAATCAATCAATCAATCAATCAATCAATCCCTCTTCAACAATGACTATTGCTCTGCATACAGGAGCAACAGCACAGAGGTACGATGTCAGAGGGATGAAATCTGGCAGCAGATACAGTGGTGCCTCGCTAGCCAGTTATCCCGCATGACAGTTTTTTTCGCTAGACATTGACTTTTTTGCGATCGCTGTAGTGATTCACAAAACAGTGATTCCTATGGGGGAATTTCGCTGGACAATGTTTGGTCCCTGCTTCGCAAACCGATTTTCGCTAGACGGCGATTTTGACAGCTCCCTCCGCGCTCGCAAAACAGGTGTTTTCGGGACCTAAGCTTCGCAAGACAGCGATTTAAACAGCTGATCGGCGGGTCGCAAAGCGGCTTTTCTATGGCCGATCTTCACTAGACAACGACAATTCTTCCCCATTGGAACGCATTAAACAGGTTTCAATGCATTCCAATGGGGAAAATGCTTTTCGTTAGACGATGATTTCACTAAACAGCGATTTCAGTGGAACGGATTCTCATCGTCTAGCGAGGCACCACTGTAATCAACCTTAAAGCAAAGCACTGTCAAGACTTGCTCCTTTATTATTTTGAAGTTTTTCAGCCTTGCCTCCTCTCCCCTGCATGATTTTGCAGTCAAGTTGAATGGGAAGAAAAGAGGCTTTAATTTCAAATAAGAAGCCCTGTTCGTCTCTGGCAGCGCAAGCCGACAAAGAGCCCAGTGACTTCTTGAAAACCATATGTTTCAAAACTAACTTTTGCTGCCTGTATTGCTCCCTAAGTTGGAAGGCGTCCCCAAGAGGGACAAAAGACCGCTGCTGACCAGAAACTCAGGCTCGCCCTTCGCGCGTCGGATGAAGTGGGCGACACACGGCTCCAGAAAGCTCAGGGTGTCAATGAAACGGCGCGTCTTCCAGATACCACAGGGCTCTTTCGTCTCTTGGAAAGGGACTAGCGGACGACTCCTTTTGGAAACTAGGGAAACCCGACTCGCAGCCCCGCAATCAGTCCGTGGGCAAACACCGCAGACCGGAGTCCTTCCTTTGTTCCCGGGATCATGTCACTCCCCAAATCAAATTGACACATTAGCAGACTTCTTGGGGACATGCCATTTTATAAATATTTATTTAAGTCATTAATTTGAATTATAGAATTAAGAGACACATTATGTTATTCAAAAAATTATGGCTAATCACAAGAAGGATGTGAATGAAGAGAAGGCCAAGACGTGCTGTTCATTCCTGCACAGGGCATCAAT